CAGCTTCAGAACACTTCGTTCTGATATCCATACATCCTGTGGAAGCTTCTGGCCAAGAATCTTTCAACGTGCTGCAATAGGACCTACTGATGATTGACCAGGTGCGCTGATACGTACATAGTTATAGTCTAAAAACATTACAGATGACATATTCATGTGTGCTGGCTGGCTGCAAACCCTTGCATCCTGACGTTAGTGACATCGTATTGATAACAAACCATCGTTGCTGACATCTGTGACTCTCGTCAGTTCAATCGAATTCATGTCGTTTGCCAACAATTCCCAACATTCCAAAATATGATCCACAATACAAAGTGACCTACCACCAAAGAACTTCAAACTAAAGGGAGTAAACGCATTCAAAATATCGAGTCAACCCATGCGTTGCCTCTGCTTTGGGCCCCGGACGGTTGTCCTCCCTATCTTCACCGAATTCGACCCTCAAAAATGTTACGAGTTCCCAAGTCCTTTGGGCCCGATGGCAAACAGTCTTCAGTCCTTCCACCCCCCCCCTCCAGTTCCCCAAACGGGAACTTCAAGATGCTTCGCGGATCGCGGAGAACGACGTGTTTCCCAGGAACGTGATCTCGTCCTTTCGGAGAACGCCCCGGTTCCCTCACCTCTCTTGCCAGCTTCCCGCCTGCATCTGCCTGCCCCCTTTTCCGGAGCTCCTCACGGAGCCGCCGCACAGGCCAGTCTCTCGGATCCTGCGATAGCCGCCGGATCAACAGCAACGCCGGACGTGGGGCTGCGGAATGGGAGAGGATTCTGTGGGAACTGCGACGTCTTCCAACTCCGGTGCAAGATAGACAGTCTCGTTTTTTCGGTCTATCGCGATCGCGAGCGGTCTGGTCGATCACGACCCGGATCTGGAGGAGTCTCACTGCGAAGTCTCCCCGTGCGGAAGGTGCGATCTCCAGCCTCGAGCAACAGCTGTCGCACTTCCGGGTGGCCATTGCCAGCTGCAACCATCAAGGCGGTTGCCCCATTTTGCTTTGCTGCGTTCTGGTCAGCTCCAGCCTCGAGCAACACCCGCACCACTTCCAAGTGGCCA